AAGAGGAGCAGCCAGAACACGAACTGGTGCCCATATGGGATGCCGGCACTGCAAATGTGGTCTAACCCTCTGTGCCACAGCACCAGCCTGATAGAGAAATCTTACATCTGTTGTTTCACTGCCCAAATGCCACAACAGCTGAGGCTTATTTTGAAGAAATTTAATCCATTTATATTTAGAGTCACTTTTTGATTCTGTTTTGTAATTCCTTTTTTCCTTTGTTCCTCTCTTGATACTTTATGACGTTGCAATCTTTGCAGTAATATGCTTTAATGCTTTTATCTTTTGTGCATCTACTGCAGGTTTTTTCTTTGTGATCACTATGAGGTTCACATAACACATCTTGCAAAACGCTAATTCCAAAAGTTCATAGAACAATGGAATTAAAACCCAGGTTTATGTTGGTGCAAAACAATTTTGAAATCCATGCAGTTTTTTTCATAATATGCATTTTCCATGAACTTTTTGAAGACCCCCCCTCATGGTTATATAAGTCTAGGCTTCTCTGTGACAAAAAAATATCTGACACGGAGGATCTCTGTGAGACCTCAGAGGAAAGAAAGGGTCATCAAAGAAGGAGACACTCTTCTCTGAAGCGAGGAGAGAACATCCACTTTGCTTATGGCCGTGTCCAAATACCAATGGAGTCTGTAGTCACAAAAGGCTTCCATAGCCTTGGGGCCCACGGCAAGAGCCTCGGATGATCACTGCCGTCATAAAAAAAGAGTGTTAATTGTTAAAGGAACAACAGTAGTCACTGTGCACTTGCTCCCCATGTAGGACCTCTGTCCCTAATGAATTGTAATAAGAGAATCGAATGCAAATTCTCTCCCCAAACTGTACTCTAAATGTGTGTGTGGGGGGGTGCAAATTGTTGAAGTCTGTACTTAGCATGGAGTTGGTCCTCTGTATATAAAGTCATACTAAAAATGAACCATAATGAAGGAGATGGGAGAGGGAGAGGGAGGTGGGATGGGGGCTGGGGGGAGGGGGGCTTAGGGTAAAGAGCCACTATATTCCTAAAGTTGTAACTATGTAAAAATGCATTCATTAAATAAAAATTTTAAAAAATACATACAAAAATAAAAAAGTCTAGGTTTATAACAACTATTTCAATTGCATAAAAACTCTTTACTTGTACTTCTCTCTCACTTAATTACTGATATCACAATTTACATATTTATGTTATATAATCACTAACACACTTTGTAATTGTTTTAATACTTTAAAAAAAGATTTATGGGGCCAGTGCTGTGGCACAGTGGCTTAAAGCCCTGGCCTGCAGTACTGGCATCCCATATGGATGCCAGTTCGAGTCTGCTCCACTTCCAATCCAGCTCCCTGCTGATGCACCTGGGAAATCACTGGAGGATGGCCGAAGCCCGTAGGCTCCTGTACCCACGAGGGAGACCCAGAGGAGGGTCCTGGCTCCTAGCTTCAGGTCAGCCCAGCTGTGGCCACTGTGGCCATCTGGGGAGTGAACCAGCAGATGGAAGACCTCTCTCTCTCTCTCTCTCTCTCTCTGGAACTCTTTCAAATAAATAACATAAATCTAAAAAAATTGTTTTATTTGAAAGACAGTGACACAGAGAGGGAGAAATCTTCCATCCACTGGTTTACTCCCCAAACGGCCACAATGGCCAGGGCTGAACCAGACCAATGCCAGGAACCTGGAAATCCACCCAGATCTCCTACTTGGGTGGCAGGTGCCCAAGTTCAAGGCCATCTTCCACCACCTTCTCAGACACATTAGCGTAGATCAAAAGCACAGATCAGAAAAAAGCTGCAGGGACTCTGCAGGTACGCTGACATTGCAAGCAAAATCTCAACCCACTGCAGCACACCATCAGCCCCTATTTTTAATACCTTCGTCTTTAAATGTTCATATACTAAAGTGATTTTCACACCACCATTATAGTTAGAGTATTTGGAATTTGAGTATATACTTAACTTTACCATTGAGGTTTTTTTTTTTTTTTAATATTTATTTGAAATGCAGTTAGAGTGGAGGTGCGGGTGGGGAGCTTCCATTTGCTGGTTCTCTCCTCAAATGGCCAAAATGGCCAGAGCAGGGCAGGCTGAAGCCAGGAGCCCGAAGTCCCTTTCGGGTATCCCATATGGGGTGTCAGGGACCCAAGTACTCGGGTCATCTCCTGCTGCCCTCCCAGAGGCATGAGCAGAAAGCTGGCTGGGAAGTGGAACAGGCAGGACTGGAACTGGAGCTCACATGAGATGTCAGTGCCGCAGCCTGTGACTCAACCTGCTGTGCGATGATGCCAGTCCACCAGTGACTTTTATAATCTCATGTTTTCACGTTGCTAGTAATTGTTCTTTCAGTTTAACTTGAGGAACTCCCTTGAGCATTTATTATAAACCAGGCCTAGTAGTGATGAACTCCTTCAGCTTTTATCTAAGTTTCTCTCCCTCCTTTCTGGAGGACAGCTTTGCCAGGTACAGTGTTCATGGTTGGCAGTTACTTTCATTCCGCACTTTGACTATACCACCTCATTCTTTTCTCATCTGTAAGGTTTCTGCTGAGAAATCTACAGTTTTATGGCAATTCTCTTGTAATTATCTGGTTTCTTTTCTCTTGTTGCTTTCAAAACTTTCGACGATTTGATTGTGACATATCTCAGTGCGTAGAACTCTTTTATGTTTAACCATTCTGAGTTCTTTAGGATTCATGGATCTGAATGTTTTATTTTCCTCTTCAGATTTGGAAAACTTTCTGCCATCATTTATTTAAACAAAGTTTCTTCCCCTTTCTCTTTCTCTGTGCCTCCTGGGACTCCCAGAATGTGTATATTGGTTTGCTTATTGCTATTCCCTAAGTTCTATATTCTTTCTTCCTTCTTTTGATCCTTTTTTCTGACACTAAAGATGTTCCAGATAGAAAACTGTATGTGCATATATATATATATATAATGGAAGAATTCAGTGATTAAAAAAAAATCTTTCAAAGGTAGGGAACAATCCCTTTTAAGTGAAAAATCCAAGAGTGACAGGACCTGACACCCAGCTGTTGCAGGCATGTGGTGGGGGGGAGTTTACCAGCAGATGGGGTTACTGTTGTCTCTGTTTTCCTTTCCTGCCTCTAGAAATGTCAGGGGGAAGAAAGAAAAGCACACAACCAACATTCAGGCATTGTGGCCCAGTGGGTAGAGCTGCTACCTGCTAATGCCAGCATCCCATATGGGTGCCAGTTCATGTCCCAGCTGCTACACCTCCAATCTAGCTCCCTGGTAATGGCCTGGGAACAGCAACAGAAGATGGCCCAAGTGTTTCGGCCCCTGCCACTCACATGGGAGACCTGGATGAAGCTTCTGGCTTCAGCCTGGCCCAGCCCCGGCCACTGCAGTCAACTAGGGAGTGAACCAGTAAACGGAAAACAGATTTCTCTCTCTCTGACCCTCCATCTCTAAAATCCAAATAAATAAAAAAAAAAGAAGAAGAAGAAGAAAAAAAACCTGACTGGATCCCTGAAGTTCTCTATTCCTCTCTCCTCCAATCACTAGTTCCTTATCCCACCTCAAACCAGAGCTATTATCCTTTTTAAAAAATATTTATTTAATTGAAAGGCAGGGTTGAGCCGGCGCCGCGGCTCACTAGGTTAATCCTCCACCTTGTGGCGCCGGCACACCGGGTTCTAGTCCCAGTCGGGGTGCCGGATTCTGTCCTGGTTGCCCCTCTTCCAGGCCAGCTCTCTGCTGTGGCCAGGGAGTACAGTGGAGGATGGCCCAGGTGTTTGGGCCCTGCACCCCATGGGAGACCAGGAGAAGCACCTGGCTCCTGCCATCGGATCAGCGCGGTGCGCCGGCCGCAGCACGCCGGCCACGGCAGCCATTGGAGGGTGAACCAACGGCAAAGGAAGACCTTTCTCTCTGTCTCTCTCTCACTGTCCACTCTGCCTGTCAAAAAAAAAAAAAAAAAAAGAAAGGCAGGGTTAGACAGAATCTTCTATCCGTGGTTCACTCCCCAAATGACCACAACAGCCACAGCTGACCCAGGAGCCAGGAGCTTCTTCCAGGTCTCCCATGTGGATGCAGGGGCCCAGGCGTTTGGGTCATCCTCTGCTGCTTTCCCAGGCCCATCAGCAGGGAGCTGGATCAGACAGAAGTGGAGCAGCCTGAACTCAAACCAGCGTCCTCTTGGGATGCTGGCGCCGCAGGCGGCAACTTTATCAGCTTTGACACAGCACAGGCCCCAACTGCTATCCTTTCAAGAGCACACGTTTTCCCGCTTCTGTACATCAAAGAGCAGATCCACACAGAAGTCTTTGGAGCCTAGCATCTTTCTCCGCACACTGTGTATGTGGTATTCACTCATGCTGCTGCTTACGGCTGCAGCGGGCTGTTCTCATGGCGGCCGGTCTTGCCTTTCTTCATCATTCTCCTGCTGAGGGCCTTTGAGGTCGCTCCCAGCTTGGGCCCGTACCAAGCAGCTCAGTTATGAACATTCCCACTTCACGTTTCCAGTGTGGAGGCGTTTTGTTGGGTGTGTTTCCAGGAATGGAATTACTGAGTCATGAATGTCTGTGCAGCTTTAAAGGATACTGGCTGCACCATGTGTGTGTCGGCAACTTAAAAAGAAGGGCCAAAGAAAATATCTGTGGGCCACCTCTTGCTTAATGCACCCCAATTCTCAAGGGAGATTTTTATGAAGTCAGCTCACAGCGTTGCATGTCATTTTCTTGAGATCTTGCAACATCCCCCATTCTCGGGATAACGATCAAATGCCTCTCAGTTCACTCATCCTCCTTTTTCTACCTCCCCTCTCCTCCCCTCCCCTCCCAAGTTCTGGGACCCTGCACCCCCGTAGGAGACTCAGGAAGCTCCTGGCTCCAGGCTTTGGCCCTGGCACAGCCCTGGCCATTGTGGCCATTTGGGGAGTGAACCAGCGGATGGAAAATCTGTCTCTCCTAACCTCTAACTCTGCCTTTCAAATAAATAGGTAAATCTTTTTTAATAGCAGATCATAAGGAGTTGCAATTTTAAACTGAGAAATCAGGAGACGCGCGCACCCTGGCACAGTGGGTCAGCCGCCACCTGTGACGGAAGCACCCCAGGGGCTCCGCCAAGCAGACACTCTACAGGAGAAAAATAAGACCCTTTTCCTGCGTTACCCCGACCCGAGGCGGCCTTTCACGGCTCCGGTAGACACAGAGCCGTGCGCTCCCGGGGGCGCCGGGGCTCCGCGACGGCCCCGGCCGCAGCCCTCCTCCACGCCAGGCAGGCGCTGCCTCAGCACCGGCCGCCGCGCGCGCGGGACCCCTCCCCGCCACCGCCCCGCGCCGCGGCCCCGCAGGACGGCGAGCCGAGGCGCCGCAGCACCGGAAGTCCGCGCCGCGGGGAGACGGCCGCATCCACGCCCGCGCCGACCCGCACGAGCGCGCGCGCGTGCGCAGTCGCGCCCCGGGCGTCTGCTCTCCTTCCCACGACCTCCCCTCCGGCGCCTGCGCACTGAGTCCGTCCTCTCAGGCCCGGAAGGCTGCGGCGACTCACAGCCTCACGGGCCGACTGCCGCTCGCTCCGAGACCCGCCGCCGCTCTCCCGTCCCGGCCTGGCAGGCGCGCGCCCACCGCGGGGCGCCGGCGAGGCTTCCGGGGAGCTCGCGGGCGCCCAGGTAACCGGAGGGTTGTGGGCGGGGACGCCCGGGGCCACGTGGTGCGCTCCCGCCAATCAGCGCGCACACCGTACTTTGCGGCTCCGCTTCAAACAAACTACCGTGAGGCGCGCCGGCCTCTGCGCCCCGCCCCCCTCCGCGGGGTCTGGGGCCCCGGGAGATGGCGGGAAGGGGTGGGGGCGCCCAGGAGCGGGGGCGGGCCGGCGGGGTCGAGTGACGGCCGGCCTCACCTATTCCGGGCGCGGGCTGCGGCGCGCGCGCGCCGCCGGGTGGGCCCCGCAGCCAATGGGGGTCGGGGGGCGGCCCGGCCGGCGGGGAGGGGGAGCCCGCGGCCGGGGGACGCGGGGGGAGGAGGGGGCGGGCTCCCAATCCGGTTCCATCCGGTTCTCCCACCGCCCCCGCCGCGGGTCCCAGCAGCTCGGGCGGCGGGAGCGGCGGCAGCGGCCAGGCAGCCCAGCTCCGCGAAGGCTCTCGGCGCGCCGCGGCCCGCAGGCACCCGGCACGCGCCCTCCGCGCCGCCAGGATGCCCAAGAGGAAGGTAAGCCGCGCCCGCGCCCGCCGCGGCGCCGCCGGCCGGGCCCGCGTGAGGCCCGCGCCAGGCCCGCGCCGCGGCCGCCCGGTGCGCTCGGCGGCGCCGGGCCCGGGCGGCGCTCTGGGGGCCGGCCGGCCGGCGCGGGCGAGCGGGCGTTCTGGAACGTTCGGCGGCGCGGGGCGCGGAGGGGGCGGCCGGCGCGGGGCGGCGGGCTGACGTCACGCGGCCGGGCATTGTTCTCGCGGGGCGCGCGGCGGCGACTTTGTTCGCGGGCTGCGCCCACTCGCGGCTCTGCTTGTTCCCGCAGGTCAGCTCTGCCGAGGGGGCGGCCAAGGAGGAGGTGAGAGCCGGGGCCGGGGCGCGGGGGGCGCGGGGGCGGGGGGCGCGCGCGGGGCGCCCGGCTGACTGCTCTCTCTGCTCCCTCCCGCAGCCCAAGAGGCGGTCGGCGCGCTTGTCGGCGGTGAGTGGGGCGCCCGGGCGGGGCGGGGGCCGGGCCGGGTCGGGGTCGTGCTCGGGGTCGTGGCCCGGGGTCGGGCCGGGGTCGTGCCCGTGCCCGGGGGCGGGGGCCGGGCCGGGTCGGGGTCGTGGTCGTGCTCGGGGTCGTGGCCGGGGGCCGGGCCGGGGTCGTGGTCGTGGTCGGGGCCGAGGCCGGGCCGGGGCGGGGCGGGGGCCGGGCCGGGGTTGGGGTCGTGCCCGGGGTTGGGGCCGGGGTTGGGGTCGTGGTCGTGCCCGGGGGCGTGCTCGTGCTCGGGGCCGGGGGCGGGGTCGTGCCCGGGGCCGGGCCGGCGGCGAGCCTCCGCGCTGCTTTGCGTTGCAGAAGCCGGCCCCCGCGAAGGTGGAAACGAAGCCCAAGAAGGCCGCCGGGAAGGTGGGTCTGGGGGCTCGGGCAGGGGTGGCTTCAGATGCCGGGGGGCGCTGGGCCCGGGGAGGGCCGCCGGCTTCTCCCTGCCCCGAGGGCGGTGCTCGCGGAGCCCGTGACGGCGCTGGGGGTCCGTGGGGCGGCGTCGCGGGACACACGTGTGCCGTCGGCCTTGGGGACCCTCGTAGAACGCAGGCGGCGGCTCGACACCTGTTGCTCAGGCTCGGGCCGGGACGCAGTTCCTGGGGTGATTGTTGCGTTGGAAAGCGAAACAGGCGTAAATCGCGGCAAACTCTGCGGAGCTCGGCCCTGCTCCACGCGCGGCGCTCCACGTGGTCTTGCAGGGTGATGCCTTTCTGCTCAGAGCCTGAGAGAATCCTACAAAAAACACCGAATTCCACGCGCCTTTGCTAAAAGCCTGGGGCAGGTCGTCTAGGCAGCGGTGAGGGTCGTTTCTAAACACTGAGGCATTGTGGGTAGCAGGGAGATTTCTCCTTAAAGGTACAAATTGCAGCTGTTACAGGAACATTGAGGGGGAATGCTAAAGTTAGTGTTTGTTCAACAAAGAAACTCTGCTTTGGCGTTTTAAAAGTGTTCAAGGAGTTAGAAGCAAAGTACAGCAACGTGGAGTTTCTAACATCAGAAACAAATGTATTGATTCTCTGTACACAAAGTCAGAATGCCATGAAAGCGTCCCATGAAGGCCCAAAAAACTGGCTGGAAGTGTTGGCTTCAGTAGTGTGTGGTACCTGTCTTGCTAAGTTCCATGCTGAAAGCTGTGGGGGGTCAGGTCTGACTCTGGTGAGTGAAACAGAAGTGATGCACTCCCTCCTCACTGGGAAGCCGGCAGGTAAGACTTGGCTTTTGTGGGTTTTTGTGGAACAGGCTGTCAGTTCAGCTTTCACAAGGGAACAATGGGGCAAGAAATGTTTCCTGTGGTACTTGGTATCCCTACCAAATTTTCGTCTTCATGACGGATCCAGCTTCGGTGAGCTTGCAGAGTGGACCTGCATGTCTTTCTGGTTGGTGTCTGTCAGGGAAGCTCTTACCCTGCTGGTGGACTTGACTTGATTTCATTACTGCTGCATTCCCTAGTTACAGAAAATCAGAGGTTCTGTTAAGCTTCTCCAGTTCCTCGTTGATGGATGGTATCCAGAACGTTTCACGTTACTTTACAGTGGCTTAACTTTTGACCTTTAAGTTAGTCTAATACCTGTGCTTTCAGGTTCTTTACACACCTAGGCCGGTAAATTCAGTTGATCCTTTAGCTACTCATGTGTTATCAAGGGGTTAACTAGCACAACCATCAAGTAGACCATACAGCATGGTGCTTTTTTCAGTTGGGTGGTCTCAATGTGAGGGTAACAGTCTTGCCAGGTCAGTGGTTATTTGGCAGTTTGATTGTTGATGCTGATGAGAAATTGGGGGGCTGTGGAATTACATTGGGAGGAGACTTTCCTGACTCCTTCCTTCTGTGTGGTGCAGAACTGGTGGTGGAGGGGTGTGTAGCCCATGCTGAAGTTAGCATCATCGTGTCAATGAGGCTTGATACCAACCACTGTTAAGCGTTCTCCTTGTTTTCCTGGTCATTGGAGGTTGACCTTAAGTTGTCTCTTGTAAAAGGTGTATCAGGTGACTCAGGTTAACTCCTCAGTGTGTGACAGACATGACAACAGTTACAGATCCTGTCTTCAGCAAGACAGAGTGGAGGTGTAAAGTTTATGATCTTATTTTCTGTTGTAGGATAAGTCATCAGACAAGAAAGTGCAAGCAAAGGGGAAGAGAGGAGCAAAGGGAAAACAGGCCGAGGTGGCTAACCAAGAAGCTAAAGAAGACCTGCCTGCAGAAAACGGAGAAACGAAAAACGAAGAGGTCAGAAGCGTTTGCTTTGCATTTTGACAGTGGATGGTTACTGTTCTGTGTAGCAGTTAAGGCAGGTTTGTTCTACTATTGAGCGGTTTTGTACAGTAACCCCAAGTGAATGGACAGACTCTTTGCTGTGAATTAGATCTTGAAAGTGTGTGTGTCGGGCTGGCACCACGCGCAGCTCACTTGGTTAATCCTCCACCTGTGGTGCCGGGTTCTGGTCCCGGTTGCTCCTCTTCCAGTCCAGCTCTCCCTGCGGCCCGGGAGGGCAGTGGAGGATGGCCCAAGTGCTTGGGCCCCTGCACCTGTGTGGGAACTCTCAAATTTTTTAGAAAAAAGAAATGTATTTGTCAGTGGCATGTTTACTGGAAAAGCTGTCAGATGTGCTGAGTTTCACTGGTAATAGACCTTCTGCCTGTGGCTGTGTAGTCTGCAGTTTTTGGTGTCTTAGAAAAGGTTTACTCAGTGGCTGTAAGGGTTGTAAGGCTCATTTTTGTGTAACGTGACCTCGGGCTTTATTTAAATGAATGTTCTTCGAATTTCAATCTGTAGACTATTGCAGTGTGTCAGATCCTAATCCATTAGGATATGGGTGAAATTTCATTTTGATTTTATATTTGCATGGCTTTACTTTTTTAAGATTTTATTTTATTTGAGAATTAGAGTTACAGACAATGAGAAGGAGAGACAGAAGGGTCTTCCTTCCGTTGGTTCACTCCCCAAATGGACGGAGCTGCACTGATCAGGAGCCAGGCGCTTCTTCCTGGTCTCCCACGTGGATGCAGGGTCGCAAGCACTTGGGCCATCCTCCACTGCCCTCCCAGGCCACAGCAGAGAGCTGGACTGGAAGAGGAGCAAACGGGACTAGAACCCAGCGCCCATATGGGATGCTGACGCCACAGGCGGAGGATTAACCAAGTGAGCCACGGCACTGGCCCCGGCTTCACACTTTTTTAAAAACACATTCCACTTCATTTCCATTGCGCCTAGGCATGTTTTTCCCCCATTGTTGCTAATGAAGAAAGTGTTTTTGTTTTATTTTTCTTAAAAGTAGCCTCTTATTTAGGACTACATAGTGATCTAGAAGAAGCAAGTAAAAAAGACTGCTATTAATCCTTTTTATTTTAAGCTGTGACAAAAGGAACGGAAGCTTTTTCTTTTTAATTTGACAGAGTTATAGACAGTAAGAGAGACAGAGAAAGGTCTTCCTTCCATTGGTTCACTCCCCTGATTGCCACTGTGGCCAGCACTATGCCAATCCGAAGCCAGGAGCCAGGTGCTTCCTCCCGGTCTCCCATGCAGGTGCAGGACCCAAGCACCTGGGCCATCCTCCACTATCTTCCCAGGCCACAGCAGAGAGCTGAACTGAAAGAGGAGCAACTGGGACTAGAACCTGGTGCCCCAACCAGGGCTAGAGCCACAGCGCCAGCCGGAAGCTTTTTCTTAAAAAAAAAAAAATATAGAAGAATATACCAGTTTTGGTGAATAGCCTTTTTACAGTGAGTTTCCATTCACTAGTTTGTTTCCCAAATAGCTGCAATGGCTGGAGCTAGGCGAGCCTAAAGCCAGGAGCCATGAGGGTACAAGGGCCCAAGCACCTGGGCCATTTTCTACTGCTTTCCCAGGCCGGAGCAAGTTCTAACCACATCAAACACATGATACTAGGATCACATTACACAGTTCCAATTACAGAAGAACTTGACCTGGCAGATGCTATCAAGTTATTGTTGATTGTCCATATTCTCAGTAGTACTTACGGTAAGATTGCCATAAATACCTAACAACTGAACCTTCAAGACACAGGGTTAGGTTCATGTAAGCCTTGATCCCATTTTCATCAGCTGACAAGTGCTTAGCTTTTTTGTGTGTTTCTGTTTATAGACATGTTATTTAATGTTGTGAACACATGAATGTTGACCTCACAACCAGCAGCACATCTGAACATGCCTGCCCAGCACATGTATTTTCTCGGTACGGCATTTAGCAACAGTGGGGACATCACGCCTGCGGGCCAAAAGTAAAATCACAGCCAGAGCTGGAGGAGGACAGTGTGATCTCCGCTGGGAGTATGTGTGGAGCCGCGCACAGGTCTGCTAGGTGCCTGTGCGTGAGCATGGGAAGTGCCACGAGTATTCATTTGCAGGTTATGGGATCTAGAAATAACGAAGATTGTATTTTTGAGACCTGGTATTTGGGTACAAGTAAAAACTTAGATGTCAAAGATCAGCAATAACAAAGATGTTTGATCATACCATTTTTCCCTTGATTTGCAGAGTCCAGCCTCTGATGAAGCAGAAGAGAAAGAAGCCAAGTCCGATTAATACCATACACCATGTGTTAGCAGTGCTCCCTGTCTCCCTTCTTGTACAATCCAGAGGAATATTTTTATCAACTATTTTGTAAATGCAAGTTTTTTAGTAGCTCTAGAAACATTTTTAAGAAGGAGGGAAGCCCACCTCATCCCATTTTTTAAGTGTAAATGATTTTTTTTAAGAGGTGAAATCATTTGCTGGTTGTTTATTTTTTGGTACAACCAGAAAATAGTGGCATATTGAATTCTGGGAGGCTTTGACTGTCTTGGGTGTCAGCTTAACATTCCATAGGTGGGGGTGGTTTTTATATCCTACAGTACAGCGCATACTAAATGGCAATTTGGAGTCTCAATTGTGCATTTAATCTGTCTTGAATATTTTCAGTTACTTCTCCCGTGTTTTGTAGAATTGTTTTCTACAGAAAACCACTCCTTGTTCTGTCAGAACCATGTGCACTCTGTAACATCTTCGGTTGTGGTAGTCCAGTTTTCCTAATGATTTTGTTAATGTGCCGTGAAAGATTGAAAATTTGAGTGTCGTGTATATGCTATTATATTGTGAATGGGTGGGATTTATGTAACAGCATCTGAAGATACTTGTACTTGATAGCCTCTTAAGGAAGAGTTGCCTCCAAATTTGAAGCTGGAAAGTCACTGGAATAACTTTTAAAAAAAAGAATGACAATTCATGGCTTTTTAGATTTTTGGTACGTATGTTAAGAATTGTGTACAAATTAAAATGTGTGTGCTGATTCTCAACACCAATAAAATCTCAATTATGGACAAATGCTTTGAAGCACATGGTTTAAAGACTACCTCAAGTTAGTTTCCATATTTGATCTTTCCAACGTGTTTTTAAAATTTAAAGAAAATGTTTTTAAGTTGTGGTTCTTGAAGAAGCATACTTTGAAAATGTGTGGTGCTCCTGGTTGAATAAGGGGAAAGCAATCTAGTGTCCTCTGAAGCGAAATAAGCCATTTTTCGTATAAGCAGTGAATACAGATTACAATAGGAGCAGATGTGAAGTATTTACATGTGACTGCACAGTCCTGTTCTTCAAGGGCTAACTTGTTTTTAAAGATTTATTTGAAAGAGTTACACAGGGAGTTAGAGGCAGAGGTCTTCCATCCACTGGTTCATTCCCCAGATGGCCGCAATGGCCGGAACTGTGCCCATCTGGAACCAGGAACCAGGAGCTGCTTCTGGGTCTCCCACGTGGGTGCAGGGGCCCAAGGACTTGGGGCATCCTTCGCTGCCCTCCTAGGCCATAGCAGAGAGCTGGATTGGAAGTGGAGCAGCCAGATCTCAACCTGACACCCATGTGGGATGTGAGCACTTCAGGTCAGGGTGTTAACCTGCTGACTGGACAAAGAGAGAAAGGTCTTCCTTTTGCAGTTGGCCACTGCGGCCGGCGCACCGCGCTGATCCAAAGGCAGGAGCCAGGTGCTTCTCCTGGTCTCCTATGGGGTGCAGGGCCCAAGCACTTGGGCCATCCTCTACTGCACTCCCTGGCCACAGCAGAGGGCTGGCCTGGAAGAGAAGCAACCGGGACAGAATCCGGTGCCCCAACCGGGACTAGAACCTGATGTGCCAGTGCCGCAGGCAGAGGATTAGCCTAGTGAGCTATGGTGCTGGCCTACAGCACCATTTTCAAGGTTTATTTTCACATGTATTGGTGTAGGGCAGCTGCACTAATGGGGCAAATGTGGAAACTGGGCTGAAGAAAGACCTCGTCAAGATTACCCCTAAAGGGGACTGAAGCAGAATTTAGGACTGCATGCTTGGTGTGTAATTTGTGTGTTCATTGAGTACGAGGCAGGGTTGCTTTAAGGTCAGGAGTTTCAGGGCCAGTGCCTAGGACAGTGTGCCATGTGGGCACCAGTTCTGGTCCAAGCTGCTCCCTGCTACTGTTAGCACGCTGGGCCCCTGCACCCATGTGGAAGACCCAGAAGAAGCTCCGCTCTGGCCCTGCCCAGCACCAGATACTACAGGTATTTGGAGAGTGAACCAGCAGATGAAGATCTTGGAACTCAGCCTTTCAAATAAATAAATAGTATATACACACATAAACTCAGGACTTCTAGGCCATTGAGAGAATTCATAGGGCTAGTGAACCTATTGGAAAACAGTATGGTGACATGGGGTGAACTGGGACCTAGAAGCGTTGTCAAACTTAGAAGAAGTGGTTGTTGGTGGTTGTGACACTGGTAAGCACTCTTGGCTTTCAGTTTAAGAGTTTCATAGTGGGGTGTACACACACTGACTCCCTGTTGTAAATATCTCTTACGACTGCCAGAGTTTGTTGGCATGTGTCGCAGCAGTTAAAAAGGATGTCGAAAAGCTAAGGGAAGAAAAAGTTTTAATCCTAAACCCATCTGTCAACTACCAAGTCCTCAAAGCCTTAGAAATAGTAAATGCTTGGAAGTCACAGATTCTTGTCACAATATATTTCAAAGGAATGATTAGTTTTCCTCACATGTAGTAAGTAAGGTTTTTCAGTTTATGGACAGAACTTAAATATAGAAAATAAAAGTGGAAATACTTTTTAAGGTCTTGTGTCAACATATCAGTTACTCGGGTGTATCGTTCAGGCTACACGTTATCCCATTAGGGCAAAATGAATAGGATGGTCCTTCATTTGTGAAAGAACTTTTTTTTTTTTTTAAGATTTATTTATTTGAAAGAGTTACAGAGAGGAAGAGACAGAGAGAGGTCTTCCGTCCGCTGGTTCACTTCCCTGATGGCCGCAACTGCTGGAGCTGCGCCGATCCAAAGCCAGGAGCCAGAAGCTTCCGGGTCTCCCAACTTTGGGCACACCCCCAGCTGTTGGCATCTGGGGAGTGAACCAGCAGGTGGAAGACTGTCTCAGCTTTAAACCATTCCCAAGATAAGGTAAATGGAAGATAACTTTAAAAGGTTAATTTATTTGAAAGGCAGGGTTACAGAGACAGGCAGAGTCAGATCTTTGTCAGATGGTTCACTCCCTAAATGGCTGCAGTGGCCAGGGCTGGGACTCCCATTTTGGTCTCCCATGTGGGTATCAGGAGCCCAACTACTCAGGCCATCGGCTACTGCTTTCCCAAGTGAATCAGCAGGAAGGTGGATTGGAAGCGGAGCAGACAGTACTTGAACTGGTACCCATATGGGATGCCACTGTCCCAGGCTTCAGCTTACCCTGCTATGCCACATTGCCGGGGTTGGGCCAGACTGAAGCCAGCAACATCATCCAAGTCCACCACACGGGTGCAGTGCCCAAATGCATGGGTCATCTTCTGTGGGGAGCAATCCGGACTAGACTAAGTTACTCGAATTAGGACTTATTCTATGCATCTGCTCTCCCACAATATGGCGCTGGGAGAGAAGTAAACAGCTTCCGCACAGCTGCCTCCAGTTCAACTAATAAACTGTAGGACTTGCTCCTGATTGGAGAGCAGCGTACTCGGCGTGTGGGCAGCCGAGTTAGGATTGGCGGAGGAGGACTATAAAGGAGGAGAGAGACAGCATGCACCAGGGAACATCTATGGGGAACATCTAGCTGAAGGAACACCCGTGCAGCCCCCGAGAGACCCGGCCGGCGGTGTGCCGCTCCCCTGCGGAAGTGGGGAATGCGGCCAGGGGGAACTGCCCTTCCACGGAGGTGGAAGGGATAGTAGCCAACCCGGGAAGAACCAGCAGCAAACCCGGGGAGGGCCGAGCAGACGAAAGAACAGCGCAGGGTCCTGTGTTGCTCCTCCACGAAGAGGGGGAGCGACATAATGGTGCCGTGACTCGGATATGAAGCCTAGGCAGGGTTTAGTGTCGTTCCCCCATGAAGACGGGGAGCGACATAATGGTGCCGTGACTCGGATAGGAAACCTAGCTCGGATAGGAAACCTAGGACGGATAGCAAACTTAGGAGGGAAGAAACGGGAAGAACTGGGAAAATATCGGAGAGAGAGACTAGCAAACAGCCTAGGGAAAAGCCGGACGAAAGAGGTGCCGGAAGAAGCTATTGAAAGCCTAGGCATAGATTCGGATACGGACTACGGGGGGAAGCTGGGAGAAATCTCTAAGGTCGAAAGCGAAAGTGAGAGCTAGAACAAACAGACTCGGACGCGGACTGTGGGGAGAGGCCAGGAGAAATGAGGGAGGAATATCGTTGGAGGAAAGCTTGGGGAAACATACCGGGTAGAGAAAAATGTTAGGGAAATTGAAGCCGCGGGGGGCAGGCCAAGGCGGAAACGAAAGCCACTTTGGGGTTCCCAAGTTAGCCCGGGAATAGGGGGCGAAAAGTTGAAACCAGAAGCTGAAACGTGAGCCAGATTGGGATCCGTCTGATTAGCCCGGGGAGCAAAGGACGGGAAGCCAAATCATGGGGCGGAGACGTACGCTGGGTTGAATTCGCCAGGCTAGCCCGGGGAACTTAGATTGAATGATAGTGGCGGACACGTAAGCTACGCTGTGTTACTCGCGGAAGCCGCCGCGTGCAGAGAGAGCACGGGGCGTGAATAGATAGGGAACGGGGCTGGCGTAGGCCGTGGTTCAGACGCGAAAGGGTTAAGCGTGGAGACCGCGGAGCGCGCGAAGCCGGGAAGCCGCGCAAAGCCGGGAAGCTGCGCAGATGAGAGAGGCGCGCGGGCTGAAGCGGCGCAGAGCCGGGAACCCGCCGGCGGGGCGAGGTGCCGGAAAGCTGCGGGGATAAGAGAAACAGAAGTTTAGAAGTAAGATGAGAAAAATAGGAATGCTGGAAGATAGAAATAAAATGGGAGAAATAGGAATGCCCGGAGATAGAGAAATAGAGAAATAAAAAGGCCTCCCTACAACACTGCAATGTGAGAGCTTGGATTCGGTCTGCCTAATCAAGTGAGGCGATGAGCACCTGCGGGCAGCTAGCAGCTTATGCGCCGCAGGTCACCGAAGACAGGCACGAATTAACATCAGTAAGGCTTCCCCACAATACAACAATATTAAGCTTGGATTCGGTCTGCCTGATTTAAGGCGGTAAGCGCCAGCAAGCAGCTCGACCAGAGTATGAGCTGCAGGTCACCGAAGATAGGCACAAACCAACACTAATAAGTCTCCCCCACAATACGGCAATGAGAAGGCTTGGATTCGGTTTGCCTGATAGGTTTTGTAAGCCCCTGCAGGCTCGACCAGAGCATGCGCTGCAGGGCACCGAACACAGGCACACATCAGCGCCTAAAAACCTCCTCACAACATGGCGAAGAGAGGACCCGGATTCGGTTTGCCTGATAGGACTTGTAAGAGCCTGTGGCAACTCTAGCAAGTAGAGCAGAGTGTGTGCCGCGGGACACCGAAGACAGGCGCGTATCAACGCTAAATAAAAAGAAAGGGGGATCTGTGGGGAGCAATCCGGACTAGACTAAGTTACTCGAATTAGGACTTATTCTATGCATCTGCTCTCCCACAATATGGCGCTGGGAGAGAAGTAAACAGCTTCCGCACAGCTGCCTCCAGTTCAACTAATAAACTGTAGGACTTGCTCCTGATTGGAGAGCAGCGTACTCGGCGTGTGGGCAGCCGAGTTAGGATTGGCGGAGGAGGACTATAAAGGAGGAGAGAGACGGCATGCACCAGGGAACATCTATGGGGAACATCTAGCTGAAGGAACACCCGTGCAGCCCCCGAGAGACCCGGCCGGCGGTGTGCCGCTCCCCTGCGGAAGTGGGGAATGCGGCCAGGGGGAACTGCCCTTCCACGGAGGTGGAAGGGATAGTAGCCAACCCAGGAAGAACCAGCAGCAAACCCGGGGAGGGCCGAGCAGACGAAAGAACAGCGCAGGGTCCTGTGTTGCTC